GGCAAACCCCCGCCCCCCTGGCCCCAGGAAGAGGAGGTGGGGTGGCTGCTTCCTCTCTCGCATTTTCAGAGCCCCAGATGCCATGGGCACCCCTTCTTCTCCATCCCTCCCCCCTACCTGGTGTCTCACCTGGAGTAGGTACGGGAGGTGGCAGACTTGCTTTGCTGGGGTCCCCAGAATAGGGGGAGGCCATGTCTGCAGCCTGGGGTTCGGCTTGTTTACCTGGCTTCCCAGGAGACTGGAGGAGGGGCCCCCAGGGGAGGAAAGAACCTTGCATTTAAAGGGGCCTCACCTGGAAGTGGGCTGGGCTGGGAAGGGAGAGGGGCCCCTCCCCCACACCTCCGCAGCTCACCTGGCTCTGCTCAGGAACTATCATTACCCACCCTGGCACTCAGAGACCTCCCCCACCTCCACCAACCCACCCTTCCCCCTGTGTTCAGGTCACTCTGGTGCCCACAGCCCCCGGCCTGTAAACGCTCACAGAACAGTAGAGGCCGTGACCGGAAGAGGCTGGCTGGCCCTCCGGACCAAAGCCATCCCATCCCACAGGTTTCCAGGGTCCAGGGCTGGTCAGCAGCCCCCTCTCGGCAACTCCACAGTCCCTGAGATAGGGGTCAGGCAGCACTAGCCTCAAGGACCCTGTCGGGGCCTAGGAAGGTGCTGTGAGTAGGTGGGTGGGGAGGCCATGGTTGCCATGGTGAGGAGCCTGCAGCTGCTCTGTCCTCCCATCTCCCTGGGAGCCCAGCAAGGGCAGGCCCAGCACCTGTCTAGGCCAGACTCCTGGTGGGAGGGCAGAAACCCTCCCCCCAAATGAACCCCCTGGCATCATGGGGGAGGGAGAGCCTTGCCCAGGCAGGAAGGCACACAGGAGGGAACTGTGCGGGCCCCACTCTTGACTGCTCTAGCAATGAAGGGGACTCTATTTCCTGTGCCACCTCCATCATTTTGTTAGTGAGCATACAGCACACTTACAAGGGCTTCAGAGAACTGGAGCGGTTCCATCCCTGGCCCCACAGCCCCCGTAAGACTGGAGGCTCTGTAGCCACCAGGCTCCTGTCCCTGGTGACCAGGAAACCAGTCCCGAGGGGTAGGAGGGGGTCCTTTATGACCAGGTTGAATTTCTATTTTGTTACATTATATCATCGCTTCTCTACAGTAATTACTTTTCTCATTTAATCTCAGGTAAACTGGTTTCAGCCCTGTTTTACAGATGGGGAAACTGAGGCTCAGGGAGATAACTGTGTTTATTTGCTGGGTTGAATGGAGTCCCACCACTTTGCATCCCAACCCCTGGAAGAGGGTTAGAAGGTCAGGGGAAATGGTGCACATCACTTCTCAAAGGAGGCCTGAGAATCGAGTCATGCGGTCACTCGGCTGCAAGGGAGGCTGGGAAGTGCAGTCCACACCTGGCAGCAAGGTGCCAGCATCCAGAGGGACAGCTTCCAGTTTGTCACAATAATTAAGACAAACACAGGGCTTTCCCAAGCACAGTGTGTTAGTTTCCTGGGCCACTGTCACAAGTCCCCGCACGCCGTGTGGTTTAAAGCAGTATCACTGGGCCGAAATCAAGGTGCTGGCAGGGCTGCTCTCCCGCCACAGTCTCTAGGGAAAAACCAGTTCCTGCCTCTCCCAGCTTCTGGTGGCTGCTGGCACTCCTTGACTTGTAGCCACATCACCCCAATCTCTGCCTCTGTGGTCACATGACCTTCTCCTCTTCTGTCTGTATCAAAACTTTCTCTTACAAGGACACCTGTGATTGCATGTAGGGACCACCCAGATAACCCAGGATAATCTCCCCACCTCAAGATCATTGACTTAATCACAGCCACAAACTCCTTCATTGCCAGGTAAGCTAACAATGACAGATTCCGGGGATTAGAACATAAATATCTTTGGGGGGCCATTATGTAGACCCTAAGGCAGTGGTGTGAGGACTGAGGTCACTGGGAAACATCCCCAGGGTGACAGAAGGAGGCCAATCAAGGGTGTCATCAGGCAAGTGGTCATCTCTGGGAGTCACTGGGACTTTATCCCACTGGGCGTTCCTGTCTGAGGGGTGAAGAGCCCCGCTAGTCACCCCCCTACCCATCAATCATGGGTTGAGAGCTGCTCCTAGGAGAGTTGATTCTCTGGTTCTTTCAGGCAGTGGCCAGTGAGCCCCTAAGACAAAGAAAGGCAGGGCTAGCACTGAACTACAGAAACAGTAAGCACCCGTGGGATGTGGGGGGGCAGTATTGTCTGCTCCCCAATCCCCACTACAAGAAGCTTACAGTCTAGCTGGAGAGATACGTAAAGGACAAGTTCATCAATAAATAAAAGAAACACCAATTGTGATAAGGAAACTGTCCAGAGCTGTGAGAGTGGCAGGGGTGGAGGGACACCTCAGCACCATTCTGTGATCAGGGACAGCCTCTTGGGGAAATGGCATTGACGCTGAGGGTAAGGGCTGCATGTCATGTGAAGGGAGGGGACCAGGTCTGAGGTACTGCATGTGCAAAGGCCCTGAGGTAAGAAAGGCACAGTGTCCAGGGGAACAGGACACAGCCCAGGAGGCTGCGTGGCTCGGTTGGTGAGCAGTGAGCCAGGAGAAGGAGCAGGGGCCTTAAGCAAGAGCGGGGAGAATGGGGGGCCAGACCCCTCTCCAGCCGGGGGGCCACAGCCCACACGTGCCTTCCTCCCTCGCCATCCCATCACCTCCATTCCCAGCAGCTCCCCCACTGCACGATTCCCTTTTCCTGCCTCCCTGAAGGCAGAGAAGGGGGTCCAGGCAGAGAGGGCAGGGGGGCAAAGGCCTGCAGGCTACAGCCAGGGGGAGAGTGGAGGGCGGCCCAGGGGAAGGCTCGGCTCAGCCCACGCTTTCCAGATAATCCTCCCTGATGCTGCCACCGTCTTGCAGTTATTTTTAAAATCTCATTTTCAGAAAGCGGAGGAGAAAACCTCTTTCTTTCGCCTTTCCCTCTTCTTTCTGTGAAAGATTAGGAGCCAGTGTGAAGGGAGGAAGCTCTGGAAGGGAGGCCCCCCCCGGCAGTGCACCTGCTGGGGGCCCGGAGGCTTCTGTTGACACTGGGCCCCCACCCCATGGATCCCAGACCCATAAGGCAGGACCCCCACACTTGGGCAGTCCCTATAAAGGGCTCATCTTCTGCTTTCACCTAGCAGACACTTTGTGGGCACATACTAGGCGCTGGAGCCCAGCAGGGAAGGAACTCTGGTCTCCACCTTCATGGGGTGCAAGGTCCAGTGGGGAGACCCTGGCTATGAGCTGAGGGGAAAGGGAGTCCCAGGCCTGGGGGCTGGGAGCTGGGGGCTGGGGAGGGGCACAGGCCTGGCCTGGGCCATAAGCAAAGGCCCCTGGAGCAGTGACGGGGCAGGGCCGGTCCAGCAGATGGAGTGCAGGCGTGCGCAGAACACGGTGAACCTGGGTGGGCTGGCAGGACTGGGACTGACCCCAGGGGCCAGGAACAGAGTAGGCCCTTCAGGTGGGTGTTCTCACTGCCACCCCCTGGAAGGCCCACAGAGGGGAGTAACTTCCTGAGCCAGGAAGTGCTGGAACCAGCTGCCAAGTTCCAGAGGGAGGAACTGGAGAGGGGCAGAGAGATGGGGTCTCAGTAGCAGGGCATGGGCTGGGCTGCCAGCCCTGAGTCAGGCCCCTTCTCCTGGGGGCAGTAGCAGCATCCTGTTATGCGGTCCCCAGGTGCAGCGGGAAGGAACCTGGGAAGTGGGACCACCCACCTATGCAAAGGTGCTGAGGTGGCAGCACTTGGAGCTCTCTCACGGCGACCTCCCGGTGGTAGTGGTGTCCACAGCCCCAGGACCACCCCCGAGCAGTGGGATGTCAGGGGCCCCTCCCACACACACTCTGACCTGACCGCCCTTCTGGGTTCAGGAGGGCTGTGGGGTTGGGGAGAGCCTGTCCCTGAAAGAATAGCCTCCCTGCTCCGCGCCCAGCCCCTGCCGGGAGTCCTGCCTGGGCCTATGGCGCCATCTGCTGGTAGTGTGGAGGCGCGGGCGAGTGGGCCTCCAGGCCCCAGCTGAGCTTGAACCCTGGAGAGGAGCTGGCACCCTGGGGGGTGGGAAGGGGAGGCAGGTGTGAGGTGGTCCATGGGCTTCATCCTCACCTTGGACTGGGGTTAGGGACCTCAGTTTGAACCTGGCTCCACCACTGACTGCTGTGCAAACTCCAGCCAGTTCCTGACCTTCTCTGAGCTTCATCCTAATGCCAGGGTGCAGGGTGGTGAGCACAGCAGGCTCCTGGGCTGTGAGAAATGGCCACCAGGCTGGGAGCCCATATCTAGCAGAGACTGTGACCCCTGGTGCTGACAGTGCCCCCTAATTCCTAAGAAGTTCATGGGGAGGCAGGTACCAGGTGTGCCCCCACAGGAACACTTCGACCCTGACATCTCACCATCTTCAAATATGGTGAGAGTTAGGGGAAAGTGCACAAGGATCAGATTCCACAGCCCAGTAGGTGTCCTTCCCCATGTCCTGGGACTGAGTCTGCAGCCCTGTGTCTGGGCCTCACCCCAGTGTGATGGAACCACACAGGATCCTAACTCTGTCCGTTTCCTGCTACAAAACATATAGTAGTTATCTACTGCTGTGTAACAAATGACCCCAAACCACAGTGCTTCAAACAGCACACATTTACTGTCCCACAGTTTCTCAGGTCAGGAGTCCCACCGAGCTTAGCTGGATCTGCTGTCTCAGGGTCTCTCGCAGGCTGCAGCCAAGGTATCTGCTGGGGCTGTTCCGTGGGTTTCACAGGGGACAGCTGAGAACCAGAGATGGAAGGGCCAGGCCCAAGGCCACACTGGACACACAAGTAAGTACCCACAAGCGCACTGTTTCCCAACGCTGTCCCTGCAAAGGTCCTGGACACTGGAACCATTGTGACCTCAGGGGTGAGGTCAGGACTGGCAGGGCCAGGGAGGGTGCCCAGAGATAGGGCTGTCCCACTGGCATGAGGACAGGGCCTGTGGGTTCGTCAAAGCGCACCCCAGATGGATGGGCAGCATTCGGAAAAGCAACGCAGCCATGCCATGGCTGATAGGACGACGTCAGACGTGTCCCAGAGCCCCAGGTCAGCCAGGGCCAGACAGGGACCTGGAGGCCGAGGAGGGGACCCCAATGCCCTGCTTCCCACAGTGCCCTGGCCTCTCCCTCTTTTGGAGAGAGCTTCCCTGCAGGGAGCGGGGAGCGAGAGCAGACCCGCCAGGCTCCCTGGCTGAGGAGGGACTGGTCCTGCAGCCACAGCAGCTGGGGGAGTGGCCCCACCAGAGCCCTTGGTGTGGTGGAGAGGCAGCTGGGAGGGGGGAACCTGAATTCAGCCAAGTGGTGTTGAATGCTTGTGAGGACAAAAGGTGTAGCCAGCCGAGTGTCAGTCCAGTCCTCACATGCCTACTTTTGGAGGACAGGGACAGACTGTCCTGTTCCCCTGAGCTTCGGCTTCTTCAAAGAAGGTTCCTCTATGGCCTTAGGGCCCCAGTGTCCAGAGTGTCCTGGACGGGCCCTGGGGGCAGCTCCACCTTCTTCCTCTGCCCCCTTGCTGCAGGCTGGAGGGTGCCCTCCTTGGGGGCACAGGGAGGCCAGCTCCGCAGACTACCCTGGGCGGTTCCGAGTCAGTTCCGGCCAATGAGCCCCTCCCTGCGGGCTGTTCCGGGAGCAGCCCTGCATCTTCCACCTCAGTGTTCTGATCAGCACACCCTTGTCTCGGGGTGTCGGGCTGTGTCCTCCTCGCCCGGTCGTGGATGCTTCTAAGGGGAGAACACTCTCCAGTCTGCAGCGGTTTGTCTGTGTTCCCATTGTTTCTTTGTATTAAAAATACATTCAATTTTGCGCCCAGTCGGGCGTGGCTCAGCAGTTGAGTGTTGATCTAGGATCCAGGAGACCACAGTTCGATTCCCGGTCAGGGCACATGCCCGGGGTTGCGGGCTCAATCCCCAGTGGGGGGCGTGCAGGAGGCAGCCGATCAATGACTCTCTCATCATTGATGTTTCTCTCTCTCTCTCCCTCTCCCTTCCTCTCTCCGAAATCAATAAAGATATATTTATTTTAAAAAAGAAAAAAGAAAAAAAATACATTCAATTTTGGTCACTGAAGGGCTGGGATGTGGGTTTCGGGGGAGATAACAGTCTCAGTAGTGCCTATGGCTGCACTGACGGGCCTGAGGCCCCTCCTGGGCACAGAGGGAGACCAGGCTCCAGCCCGTGTGGCATGAGATGCCCACAGGCTTCGTGTGAAAGGTGGGGCTCTCGGGGATGCAGGCTTCACCGTTTTGCAGAGGCTGTGTGTCTTGGGACAGGTCACCCTCTCTGCGCCCGCAGCTCGTGGGGTCGGTGTGAGGCCCCACTGGTGGCAGTGGGGCGGTGAGAAGGCCGCGGGGGGAGCTGCCTAGGCCCAGCACGCCCTCATTTGTGCGCCTCACTTTCATTGCTCGTCACCCGCACGCGCGGGGCACGTCCTCGCTGAGCATGCCTGAGCCAGGCTATCTGAAGTCTGACCCCCACCGCTCGTCCATCCCTGTCCCTGCGGATTGTCCCCAGATTCAGAGCTGCTTGTCTGTCCGTCTCTCTCCCCGTGAACGGGGTGCGGCGAGGGGAGGGGCTTCTGCGTGTCCTGGTGGCGGCAGCGGCACCTGGCACGCAGGAGGCATTTACTGAGCACCCGCTGAGCGAACGAGGGTGGCTCACAGGCAGCGGCGGCTGCCCGGCCCGTGGAGCTGGGGGTTGTCTCCACGCGCAGTGCACTGAGGCACGTGCCGTCGCCCGGGTGGGTCACTCACCTCTGTTGCCGCTGGAGGCATTTCTCTGGATGGAGCATGGCGTATACGCTCGCCGCCTTAAGGACCTTTGGGTATTTTTCACCTGGGGCTGTTACAAATAAAGCCACCATAAACACTGGTGTACAGATTTTGGGGTAAACAGAAGTTGTCGCACTTGAGCGAACGCGCAGGTGTGAGCGAGCTGAGCCGGTGGTGTGTTTAATTGCCTTCCACGCTGGCTGTGCCGTTTTGCACCCCACATGGTGTGGGAGATGTCCAGTTGCTCTGCGACCTCGCCAGCACTTGGTATGTTCCGTTCCCCCGATTTTAACGGTTCTGGCTGACGTGTGGTGATATCCCACTGTGGCTTTAATGTGTTTCTCTCCTGGGGAAAGATGTCAAGCACTTTTTGTGTGTCAATTGCCGTCTGTTTACCTCTTTGGATAGAACATCTGTGCCAACCTTTTGCTCATATTTTGACAGGTTGTTAGTGATTTTGTTCTGTGTTGTGTTCCTTATATATTCCAGATACAGTCCTTTATCAGACGTGTGATATGCAAATATTTCCTCCGAGTCCACAGCTTATCTTCTCATTTTTTATAGCTTTCTTTCCAAAAGCAGAAGTTCTTCATTCTGATGAAACCCAATTTTATCATTTTTTTCCTTTATGGATAGTTCTTTTGGTGTCAAAGTAATAAATCTTTGTCTAAACCAAGATCATGAAGATTTTCTTTTTTTCTTCTAGAAGTTTTAGAATGTTAGGTTTTACTTTGAGGCCTATCTACTTTGAGTTAATTTTTGTACATGGTTTGAGGCATAAATCAGGGGGTTTTTGCATGTGTATATCCAAAATGCAAAACCATTTGTTTTTCCTTTCTTAATTGAATTGCTTTTGCACCTCTATCAAAAATCAATTGGCCTTGTATGTGTAGGTCTTTTTCTGGACTCTATGTTTTGTTCCATTTATTTATATTTCTATGCTTTCAGCATGCCATATTGTCTCATCTACTGTAGTTTTGTAATAAATCCTGAAATCAGTCGTGTTGCTCCTCCAATATTGTTCTTCAAAATTGCTTTGGCTATCTCAGTTCCTTCACTTTTCCATATAAACTTTAGAAACAACTTGTTGGTTACTACAAAAACAAACAAACAAACAAACAAAAACCTCCTGTGATTTTCATTGGAATTGTATTAAATATCTAGATAAATTTAGAGAAAATTGGTATCTTAACAATATTGAGTCTTCCAATCCATGAACATGGTGTGTCTCCTGTCATTAAAGTTTTCTTGATTCCTTCCATCACTGTTTTGTGCTTTATAGTATATATATCTGACAATTATCAGTTAGGTTTATACCTGAATATCTCATAGCCTTTAGTGCTATTGTATATGGTACCTTTTGTATTTCAATTCCCAATTATTTATTGCTAGTATATAGAAATATGACTGCTTTTTGCACACTGACTTTATATTGCAAATTTTATAAACTCGCTTTTTTAATTTTAGTAGCTTTTTTTTATGGGGAATGATGGGAGGATTTTGAGTGACATGATCTGATGTATTTCTTACACGGTGAAACAAGTGGGTGGGTAAAATACTGAGAAACGAACTCCGTCTAATATACTGCTGCCTGCCTGCCCCGGACGGTCTCTGACCTCCCTCCAACACCCCACCAGGGATGGGCAGTGGCCAGGGCAGTCCTGTGTGGCCCTGGAAAGGCCACATCCTCCTCCAAGTCAGTGCAAGAGCTGGAGCCAGGGGTGCTGTACCCCGAACGCTCCAGTCCTACCAACCCTGCCTGTCCCCCCAAACACTGGCTGGGAAGTCAGGCCCACCCCCCAGGCCCACAGGCAATGCTGCCAACTCAACAGTGTCCCTGAGGCTACAAGACTTGTGCCCTCTTCCCAGAGATCAGTCAGTCCACTGAACACAAGGGTGGACACCTGGAAGGATGTGACTAGACTAAGCCTGAGCCAGACCAAGGTGCTCTCAGTGTCCCTTGCGCTCATATCCATGAACACACACAGGGCGCCCAGGCATGTACACCCAGGAGCCCTTTTCCATTTCAGAATCTCCTCCATCTCGGAATCCACGAGGGACCCGTCTTGCAGAAAGGCACCTCAGACCTCTGCCCACAGGGACAGACTGATGCACCCCACCACCATCCTCCTGTGCAAGTCGAATAGCAGCCAGGCTGCCCTGGTGCCCCAGGAGCACAAGATGTTCTTGGAGAAAGCCTACAATGCAGGTGATCACAGCCCCAGGACTCAGGTTCCAGCACATTCCATCATGGCCCTCTGCCCAAAGAAGTCCTGGGGATGAGTGTCAGGGGGAGTCCACCCTCTAGGACCTGGGGGATACCAGAGGTGTGGGCATAGTGCAGCTTTCAGCAGAGAGCCCTGCATGCCCTCCTTGGCCCCTTCATGCCTCCTGAATCCCCAAATTGCCCTCTTTAACACCTCACTTCACCTCTATTCTCCTACCACACCTTTCACACCTTAGAACCTCAGCTTAGGCCTGGCCCACTCCCTGAAATGCTTTTCCCCTCATTCAAAGAATGACTTGGCCACACCCTTCTAAGCAAAGTTAAATTTCTTCCTCCTTTGGAAAGCCAGCCTTGACTGCCCTTCCATCTTAGTCAGGATTTATTGCCCCTGTCCTCTGTGTGCCCAGGGCCTTTTATACAACTACCCCACAGAACCAATGTCCACTGATACTGGGCATGTCTCCCTGGGCTGGAGGCTCCTTCAGAACATAGCTGGTCCTTGACTTCTCTTTGAGCTCCCAAATACAGCCCTATGACCACCCAGAGTGAACATTATTGAACACTGGATGACTGGATGGAGAGTGGAGGGATGAAGGAATGAACAGAAAGAGAGAGAGAGGGATGGATGATGAATTTATGGATGGATGGATGGATGGATGGATGGATGGATGGATGGATGGATGGACCAATGGATGGATGGATGGATATATTTATTAATGGTTGGATTGGTGGATGAGTGTAAGAATGGACAAACAAGTGGATGGATAGCTGGACTGATGAACAAACATATTTATGAATATATAGGTGGATGGGCATTTGGACCAGTGGGTAGGTGGATGACAGATGAATGGATAAATGGATGAATAAAAGAATGGCTGGATCAATGAAGAGAAGGAAATATGCATGCATTCCTGCTCCTTCTATCTTGAACTCCAGAAGGACTGACTAGACAGACAGGAGGCCCAGGATGTGTTCAGTGCTCCAGTCCTCACTCTCAGATCACTTCTTCCCATTCCCAGCCCACCCAGCCCTGCTGGCTCAATGGGACTTTCCCACAGTCCATCCACCCTCACAGCTTCTTTCCATGTGGTTTAGCCATCTGCTTCAAGATGCTCCGAGACCTGAATGGTTCGGACCCTGTCCGCCTGAAGCACATTGTCAAGAAAATCAAGAACATGGCTCACAAGGCCCCCAACCTGGTGCTGGAAACCATCCATGACTACTTTGTAGACAACCCTGAGGTGGGAGCTGCTTGGGCCACTCGTGGGAGGCACAGGGAACAGAGGGGAAGGCTGGATCCCCAATCTTGGGGCAGGCTCAAATCTTGGCTTCTCCATATGGCAGTTAAATGATTTGGGGCAAGTCAATCTCCAATAGGCTGAGGCGGGAGGAAGAAAAGTTGGACCAATATGTGTTGACTGACCCAAGAACAATCTTGTGATACAGATATTATGATCCCCATAGATGAGGAAACTGAGGCTTAGAGAAGGGAAGTGATTTGCCTAAAGTCACAGAGCTATTAAGTGGGAGAGATGGATGGGTGGATGGATGGGTGGATGGATGGGTGGGTGGATGGATGGGTGGATGGATGGGTGGGTGGGTGGATGGATGGGTGAATGGATGGATAGGTGAATGGATGGATGGGTGGATGATTGCTGGGGAAGATGTGAGTTTTAACGAATGAGTGAATAAATGAAGAAATAAATAAACTGGCTTTAAAGATGGGATGCTTTTAAAATCCCATAGCAGTTCCCTGAGGATAGGGACACATTATCATTCATCTGTCTCTGCAGAACCTAGTTCAAGGCCTGCATATAGTAGGTGTTCATAAATGGATATAGGCCAAAAGGCCAAAGGCATCCACTTAGGATCTTTTCCTTTGGGCATCTTCCCCCTCCCCCACCCCAAGCTCTCGCTGGTGACTCCCAACTTGTCCATGAGCCTCTGCCCAATCTACTGCCCACAGATCTCTAACAGGCACAAGTTCCGGCTGTTCCACATTCTGGAGACCGTCATTGGAGCCAGTGACTCACTGGAGCAGACCTGGGAGAAAGCCTTCATGAAACTGGCCCTGGAGAACATGACCAAGTCCACGGTGGGCCTCCCCCCTCCCCTGGACTCCCGGGAAGGCAGGCAGCTGCCCCAGGGTTCCAAATATGCTAGGACAGCCCAGCCGTGGGTTGACCAAGCAATTCCTATCCATTTTCTCATTTTCTTACCACCAGCCCCTTCAGAGGGACAACTTCATGAACCCATTTCACAGTTGAGAAAGGTGAGGCTCAGCGAGCTCATTGTTGTCTGAGGCCTCAGGACCCTTAAGTGGAGAGCCAAATGTCTGCTGCAGTTCAGCACCTTTTCCCTGCAGGTCCCTGCCCTGTGGTAGGCTCTGATCCCCCCTCTCTACCCATTTTCTTACAATTCCCACTGGGGCTTCCCATACCACAGCTCTGGAAGTAGCTGTGAGTCTCATCCATCACCCAGGCTGTGACTCAGCTCTCGGTTGCCTACCTTTGGGGTCCTGCCTGATGGAGACATACAGGTTTGGACCTGGACCACTCCCCATCCCCATATCCCCCCAAGCTGCAATCTAGGGGGCTGCTCCAGGCCAGCCAACTCTCTCAGCTGATTGTGGCTTCAGGGGCTTGGGGGGCAGTGGCTTTACTCCAACCACTAGCCTAGGGCAGCCCCATGGTGGACTCACCAATAAACACATAACTATTCATGGCTGGAGATTGGTGATGGGTCCCCAGGCCCACCACCACGGGTCCAAGCTCTGGGTCTCGATGAGGTGAAGATGGGCATGATCTCACCCCAACAAGCATTTACAAACCCCCCTCACAGACAAAGGGACCGAGGTGCCACACTTACAAGACGGGCTGCAGTCAATACCCAGCTGGCAAGCAGCAGGTTCACAGATGCCATGCCCCCCACAAAGTGCCTGCTCATCGCCCCAGTGTGACTCCTAGAGAAAAATAAGAGGATAGCCCTACCTCTATAGCCTTTTTCCTAAAATTCTTTTTTTTAATTTATTAGAAAATATTTAACTCATCATTGTGAAGTAAATCAGGTATACATTAAAAGTGCAAGGCATCCGAGTATAATTACAGACTAATAATAATAATGAAGAGGGGAGGCGCGACCCAGGTGGGCAGGGCTGCAGGACGAGCAGAGCCCATCTCTGTCCAGGCGGCAGCCTGGCTTCAGCCCTGCCGAGGGCGGACAGGAGCCCCTCTGGGGCAGCATAGGAGGGTCTGGGTAGTTCTGGGGGCTGCCTCCAGCCTGGGTTGGGGCGGGCACTCCTGTGGGTGCCACAAGCTGGCCCACGACTCACAGAGCAGAGCAGGCAGGTCACCACCCAGGTCCAGACCAGCCAAGCACGTCTCAGCATCCGAGCCAGGACTGGGACTCTCATTACCCACCCCACTTGGGGGCCCCCGTCTCCTATTCCCCAAGCCTTCCTCTTTCCCGTTCACCCTCTCACAATGGAGACACAGCCTGTAGCAGCTTCTCAAGGAAGGTGCTCTGGAAGCATCACTTTGAGACCTTGCCTTTCTGGAAATCTCTGTTCTGTTCACCACGGACTGCACGTTGGAGCTGGTATCCCGTTGTCTCCCTGCCCCCGGTGCGGCTGCGGAGACTCCGGAGCCATCCTTTACCGGGGCCCGCCTTCTGCTGGGAGGCTCCTGGCAGCTTCTCTGTGCCCTGCACGCTCTGCGGGTGCACAGTGGCGCCTGGCTCTGGGCTGTTTTTAGCCACCAGGCTTTGCAGTCTTGCGCCCTTGTCATCTGGCAGCTTAGCTCCTTGCTCTGTGGCGATGGTTTACGCTAATGCACCGGCAATGATGTCTCCTGGGAGGCTAACGTTCAGAGGAGGTGCTTTTGAAAGCTCCTAACATTGTCTTGCCTCTCCTTCCATCTCTCTGCCCTTCGTTCCGCCCCCTGAAGATTCGTTGTTGCCTTCCAAACCTCCTAATTGAGTTTCCCCCCATATCTTTAACTTTCAAGAGATCTAGATTTGTTCTCGGAATGTTCCTCTCTCGCATCACGTTCGTACAGTCACAGATGCAATATTGGCTCTTATCTCTCAGAGGATATTAAAGAGGCTCTGCTCTGCTGGGAGTTTCCATCTCCCTGCTTGGCCTCTGTGTCCTCCCAGCTGCTTGCGTCTGGGCTTCATCGGGTTTGTGGTGGTGGGTTTCACTGTCTCCCATGTGCGAGGCCTGCCCCTGTGCAGCTGTCTGCCGGTGGTCAGGAGTTGTTCGGACGCTCTGAACACACAGGTGGGCTGATGGGATGTGGGGTCCATTGTGGAGTAAAGAGGTGAGCCCACTACCCCTGCACCCCCATGTCATAGCTCTCAGTCTTCCCTCCTGGGCCATCCAGGCTTTGCACAGAAGACCTTGGTCCAGTGCTTGGCCTGGCGCTGACGCCCAGGAGGTGTTGCGGAGGACCTGGCCTACCAGGTGACCACTCCTGTGCTTACGGGCCTGGCCTGGCCTCCCCACTTAGCAACCCTCTGCGGCTCCTCCAGACACCAGGCCTCCAGACTTTACTGGACCCTCCAGGTGTGCAGAGTGGGGAGGGCATCGAGGCACCTGACCAGTTCTTAACCCACATTACCCGGCCCCCCCGGTGTGGGAGACGGGTGCTCCGCCAGAGCTCCCTGTACGAGCACCGCTCTTACTGCTCACCCCCCCTCGCCCTGCAGGAGCTGGAAGAGGCATATCAGGACGCGGCCAGCAACGTGCTGGTGGCCATCTGCAGGCACTCATGGCGGGCGGTGGCCCAGCACCTGGAGACCGAGGTCCTGACAGGTGTCTTCCCACACCGCAGCTTCCTCTATGTGATGGGCATCTTGACCTCTAAACGTAAGTCCTGCCCATGGGTCCTGAGGCACCCCCAGGCCAACCTTTGCCCTGGGCTGGCATGGTGGGGGTGGGGCAGGTGATGGAGAGAGGACCGAGGAGGGGGCTGGGCATGTTCATGGCAGAGGGCAACCAGCTGCAGACCGAGTACCCACAGCCCCCCTCCCCTCTGCCAGCCGGGCCATGTGGGACCCCTGCAAAAGGGGAACACTGCCCAGCTGTGTTGCCCATTCTGACTCTAAGTTGAGGTCTCACTAGGATGAGGGTTCAGCTATTGCAAGACAGCAAATGTTGACTGAGGACCTGTCACATGCCATTAGGCTCACAGGGAAGCAAGCATCACTCTCATCGGGCATGAGCTGAGCTCACTGCTGCTCATCAGGGAAGGCTTCCTGGAGAAGGCAGACAGATCTAAGCTGTGCCTTGAGGGATGAATAAGAGTTTGAGGAGGGAATGGTGTATATGCCTCAGGGCTTTAGAAAGGAATTGGTGGCAGTGGCAGCGAGGGGTTGGGGGACAGTGGGAGTACATAATGTGGTCTCAAAGGCCATGCTTGGGAGTTTAAACACTAAGGCCTAGGAGAAGGTAGGCTCAAGGTTGCCTCGGCTTTGCATCCCTTCCCTGGGACTGGCAGGCTGGGTGAAGGTCCCTCTGTGCCTGGGGTGACCTCTGAGACCCCCAGGGTCATCCCTAAAGCAGCCTCTCCTTCTGAGGCTGGGTTTAATGTCTCACAATGCCTCCCCTCTAAGCCTTATTTTCTTACCTTGAGGGGACCCCAGCACATCCCAAAGAGTCATGCCAGGAGTGCCCCTTTGTTCACCATTGGGGAGCTTCATATGGCCTCCTGAGGTCACACAGCAAAGCCAGTGGGGCCACAGCTCCAGCCCAGCTCTGGACCCCGTGCTCAAGCACTGTTCACAGTCCTTGGAGCTCCCCTCCAGCCTGGAGCTGAGACAGGGAAAGGCAGGACAACCTCAATGTCACCCTGACTCAGTCCAGTGTCCAAGGATGGAGGAAACAGAGCCTGAGATCCAACCTGGCTGTGACATCAGCCCCGGCCTCCAGTGACCCTTCTTTCCCACAGAGGAGCTCTTCAGCCAGCAGGAGAAGGTGTGCTGGGAAGAGCAGCTGACCAAGGTAGGGAGGGAGCCTTTTGTGGGGACAATGGGGGACAGAGGAGCAGGTAGTACACTAACATGGGTAGGCACATGCTCAGCTCTGGGTGGGTGGGGAGAGCCCCACTTTACAGATGAGCAAACAGGCTTTGGGACTGGAGAGGACTTGACCACAGTCAAGGGGGTGGTCCCTGGGGGACTTGGGATTTGAACCTTGGCCCCTAAGTACCTGAAACAAAGCAGGTGTCCAGCACATACAAGGTCTTCCCACCCACCTTGGGGGCTGAGTCCATGACTGAGGGGGCCAGAGAGGATGCAGAGGCTGGATCTCAGAGCTTGGCAGGAAGGAAGCAGGTTGGGGTGGGCTGGATACCACACCATTGCCAAGGTGTGGTATCCTCGAAGGTCCATGTCTGACCACCCACCCACATGCGGGCCGGTGTGGCTGGGAGAAGGAGCACAGGATACTGGCTGACCTGGGTTCAAGTCCAAATTCAACCAGTCTCAGCTGTGGGACCGGGCTGACCTGCCTTTGCTTCTCGGCACCTTAGTTTCCTCATCTGTGAAACGGGGATGAAGGTACCTAGCTCAAATGTCCGTTGCCAGGGTTATAAGAAAAAATCCATATAAAGGGCATGTTAAATGTCAGTTATTATTATCACATAGTAGCAGCAGCAGAATCATTGTAATTAAATGGTATCTAGAAGAAACAAGACCAGCAGCAGCAGCAGCGATACAAGTAATTAATAGAGAAATAAGACAGAAAATCACTCAGGGTATAGACAACTTGAACAACCTAATTAACCACATCGATCTAATTGGCATTCCTTTCAAATGTAAACAGGACGTTCACCAAGATAGATTCATGGCTGGGCCATATGTAAAGTTCCAATAAATTTAAAAGGACTGAAACCAAGCAGAGCCCATTTATGACCAGAACATAAGTTATAGGTCAATAGCAAAAATAGACCTGGGGAAAATTCAAATATTTGGAAATTGTAAGTAACCCATGGGTCACTGGAGAGACCACGAGCGGACTAAGGAAACATTTGAGCTGAATGATGAGGGCGCAGCACATGGACATTGGTGGGGTTCATCCAAAAACATTGCTTAGAAAGAAATTTATATTTTTAAATGCCTACATTAGAAAAGAAGGCAGCAAACCCGTCATCTAAGCCTTAATTTAAACCCGTCATCTAAGCCTTAATTTAAAATGCTCTCAAAGAAAGCGAGCAAATTAAACCCAAAGTAAGTAGAAGTAATAAAAACTAGAGGAGGAATCAAAGGAAGTTTCTAAAAGAAAAAACAATAGAGACTGAGTAAAACCCAAGGTAGGTTATTCACAAAAGACTGGCAAAGTGATAAGTTCCTTGATAGGTTAATCAAGAAGGTTAAAACAAACCCACAAAGCACCAGGATCAGGGGAGAAGCACTGCACGGCCTTCAGGGCCAGACGGCAATGCTGAGATATGACTCCAGTGAGTTAGGCCATTTAGGAAGAACACAAGTGACTGAACTGACCCAAGGAGAAACGGAAAGTCTGAGTGGTCCTGTAGGGAGGAACCTGGAGTCATAATTATATACCTGCCCACAAAGGAAACTCCGGGGTTCAGGTACTTCACTGGTTAATTCCATCACAGTTAAGGGACAAAGAGTCCAACTCTACACACATTCTCAGAAGGGGGAAGGGGCAAGAGGACGGTGACTCAGGGCACCAAGTGGCCGGGGTGGACCAGGCTGGTGGAGCCCAGCTCACAGGGAAAGGGCTCCAGCCCTGCCCACCCTGTCTACTCACAGATAGCCGTCAAGTCTGTCCATTTCCTGCACATGGACGGGTGGTCCAAGGAGCTGCTGTGGGCACTCACCAAGCCTGACCTTATATACCAGGAGCAGCCCCCAGAGAAGGTGGGTCCCATTCTCCCTCCTCATGAACAACCCTGCTGCCTGTCCATAGGATGCACACCCAAAGTGAGGCGCTGGGCCCTAGAAAGAAACTGCTGGACCCAAGAGAAACGAGAGGGGGGGCACTGAGCAGCACTGAAGCCACACCCCTTAAGCTTCACCACACCACTAGGCAGGGGTTGATGGTCCCACAGAGTGTGGCTGCAGGAGCCCTGGCAGGCCACCCGGTTGGACAGGGATGGACAGAGATGGGTCTGGCTCAGGACAGGAAGCTGAACCCTTCCCCAGGCCTTCCTGTTCGTCTTCTATGGGCTGATCCTTCAAGCTGAGGAGAGCAGCACCACGGTCAGGACACACCTGCGAACCCTCCTGGAGACATCCCACCAGTGGCCTAAGCAGAGGGAGGTGAGGGCCAGCTCTCAGCCCAGCCCAAAACTGACTGAGCCTGGCCACAGGCTTAGCCTGCTCTTGGTCACCTGCTGAGCCCTGACCCTGGTCACACTCTGAGCCTCACCCCATCACAGACTGAGCCCATCACAGCTTAGGTCCTCTTTTTCATCACACACTTAGTTCCTGGACCATGGTTCCTACCTCTGGCTCATGTCTGCTCAGAGCTGGGCATGGGGTGGGGGTGATTACAGGCCTCCAGGCCTCTCCTTCCTGCCTCCCCACCCACCTTCCAAAGCCCATAAGAGAAACTCCTACGGGGTTGGGCTGAGAGATGCCTGTTTTAGAGTGTGTGGGGGTGGGAAGTGGATGTCTGTGGCCTCAGACAAGTCCTCTCCCTTTCTGGGCCTCAGTTTCCACACCCCCAGTGAGGGGTCAGACTCCAGACCCCACACAGTGACCCTGTTCCCCCACCCCTTAGGGCATCTCTCTCACAGTGGGGCTGACTGCAGTCCGCCACCTGGACCATGTGTGGGCTGTCCTGGAGCAGTTTGGCAGGAGCACACCCATCAAGTGCAGCCTCCACAGCTTCTCCCCAAAGGTACTGGCTCTGGGGTCACTGGAGCCCCAGCAAGGGACTGGGACATCCGGGCCCCTGCCCTCCAGAAAGGTCTGAGCCTCCCAGCAGGATCCCCTGGGGCGAGTTAGGGGCACAAGCTTTGGACCCTGTGTCCTGACCTTTGGTTCAGGACCCACTTCTACACCCACCTGTGGTGTGACGCTCCTGTGCCTCAGTTTACCCTCTTGAACAAGTCCTTCCTCCCTTGCCAGTTGTTGAGTTGAAATGAGCCATGATGGGAAATGCTGGGTCACAGCTCAGGCATGGCAGTGGTGGCTGCCGTGTGTCTATTAGGTCTTAGACCACGGGCCTTGTCTCAAACATGAGACAAGGGCCAGAGGTCATGTGCCCAGCAGAGGGACTAGCAGCAACCCTGTCCTCCCTGCACCTGAATCACTCTCACGGGCAAAAGCATTTTTCCCTATTTTCCTGCTGAAGTAAACTGAGGCCCACCATCCCTCAGAGCACCCTGCCTCCAGTACCCTTCTAGGACCTGGGATACCTCCCGTTACTGCTCCCCCAGAGTCGGGGCCCAGCAGCACCCTGATGCTCCTCATCTACCCCACCCAGGGCCAGACTTCAGAGGACCTGCGGTGGAGGTGGGCCAGCAGCACGATCCTCCTGGCCTACGGTCAGATGGCAGTCAAGGCCAAGGCCCACATCCTGCCATGGGTGGACAACATCTTGTCACGGATGATCTTCTTCTTCCGCTACAGCTCCTGGGTACGTCCAGGGCCAGGGGCCACCCCTCTCCCCCTCTGCAGTGCCTGCTGCCATGCTTGACTGACTCTCACTCTCTCCTGCCTTCCCCACCCCTGGCTCCTGGCCTCCTCCCCAGGATGAGACCCTGAAGCAGAGCTTCCTCACTGCCATCCTCATGCTGGTAGGGGCCATCAGCCGCAACAGGGGCGCCCAAAGCTACGAGTTCTCCCAGATCCCAGAGCTTTCAGAATGCCTGATGGTGAGTTCCAGGTCCTGGGCAGAGGAAGGGGGTGGAGGGGTTGCCCGCCTCAGACCAGCAGTGTTTGTTCATAAGAGGCACCCCTGGGAAAGGGGTGGAGCAGCTGGGTTTCTAGAGTATGAACAAGCCCCTCACAGCCTTTTACACCTGGGAGCACAACCATGTCCCCCACTTCACTTAGTTCTTCCAGTGGCCCTGAGCTGGCCAGGTATGTCCCCCACACAGGTAACCTTGCTGAGGCCCAGAAAGGTCAAAACCATCCATTCTGCTCATCCTGACCTAGATAAGACCAGCAGTTACTAGAGATTGTGGCCTCACAGAACCCCAAGGTTATGGAGGAAATACACATGTGATGGGCAATTACAAATAATAACAACAGCATTTCCTCTTTGCTGAACTCCTGCTGCAATTCAGACGCTGCTTCAAGTGCCTTTCTTCATGCATAACGCCATGCGCCAGAGCCACGGTGCTTGTGAATTAACACAGCTCAGAGCAGTTTGGAGACTTGCCCAAGGTCAGGCAGCTACTACGTGGGAAACCAGCATTTAGACATGACCTGTCTAATTCTAAAGCCCATGTTCTAGTTCTCTAAGTGGTGGCCAGACTACCCGGTGGATAAGGAGCTGGAGAATAATCCTGTGGGTCACACGAGTACTAGGCACTGAGGTCTTTAGGAAGATATCAAACTTGGTGTCAGGAGTGGGATAGGCCCAGGCATGAGTGACAGCCTTCACCTGGGCATTTGCAGGTTTTGATGGAGAAGGAGCCCAAGGACTCACTGTGTACATTGACTCGCCAGCAGACCATCCATGTCATCTCCAGCCTCTGGTAGGCTCCCCAGCTCCACACAGCGAGAGGTCAGAAGTCAAAGCCCCCCTAGGAAGGGCTAAGGTGGCCATGGTGGCTGGGGGATGGGCAGCTCATAGAGGCCAGAGCATTTGGTCTGGGGGCACAGCCACTCCCCAGAGTGAGCTGACCCCTAAACACTCAAGGTCAGAGCAGTCAGTCAGGGAAAATCCCAGCTACAGGCAGAGTCTAGAGCAGGCCCCAGGTGTTGGAGGAGGAAGCCTTGCCTAGATTCCAGCCAATATCCCAAGGAAGGAAGGGAGGCTCAGGGATGCCAGAACAGGTGGCAGGTCCTGATTTAGCCACCCACCTACAGGCAGGATGAGGGGGTGCCTTGCCTCCCTACCCTGGCCAGGACAGGATGAGTTGACTAGGAAGTGGGAGCTCAGGGAGTTCAAAGCCGCATGCTCTCTAACTGCAGAGGGACCCAGCAGGCAGCAGGCAGCAGCCAAGCATCCTGCGGCCCAGCCCTGCACTTGAAAGGTGGGAGGTGGAGTTGTGACAGCCTTCCCCAGAGTGGTCAGACCAGGTTCAAATCCCAGTTGTGCACCCAGAGCTGGGAAGACACCCGAATGCTTCATAAAGGACTCTTGGGGTACAGGGCTTCATGAATCCCTGCTCCCAGGCAGGCCAGTAAGTCCCTTACAAACACCTGTGGAAGTCACCTGCGCAGGAGGCCTGCAACAGGACACAGAGGGGAAAGGCTGGGGAGGCAGAAGTGTACATGTATTCAAAGCAGAAAGGCCAGATGGGATAGAATGCCTGAGTCCTGGGGGAAGGGGGGCGCTACTGCTCAGGGCTCACACACTACTGGCTATGCTGGCAGGTGACCCCTTCCCATCCCCAGCTCCCACGCCCCTCCCTCACCGCCTTCTGTCCTCCACACAGTAAGCTGAGGCCGCCCTTGGACACAGAGAAGAAATCGCGGCTCCTATCTGTCTGCCTCCGCAGCGTGCTGGCCCTGCCGCTGCTGGACGTCCTGGAGAAACACACCTGCCTCTTTCTGGAGCCACCCAACATACAGGTGTGAACCTGGCCAGCGTATCCAGCTCTGCCTGCTGCTCATGCTTGGAAGGAAGCTGGTGTTAACTGAGCACCTGCTATGTCCCAGGCCCTGTGGAGCTCCCCAGGGCACCCAGAGCATTGGTGGCCAGTGTCCAAGGGCTCTGCTCTCACGGGTTCTGGTGAAGTGTGGGCTAGGTCATTTCTGTGGCCCTCTCCCTCCCTGAGCATGCCTGGTGAGCCGATCAGTAAAGATTGGGGGCCTCATGTGGGGGACCCAAGAATTGGAACCAGCTGCATAATTTGCTGGGACCACTGCAAAATGGAAATGTGGGGCTCTTGCTTAAAGTCCATTAAGAATTTCAAGATGGTGCCAGCAGAGCAGTGAATGGTGCACTCACAGGGCCCTCCTGGGGCCAGGGTCTGTGTGGGTTGCATGCCTGTGAAGCGAGCCCCTGAGGAACCTGTGCCCTTAGGAAGGCCCAGGCCACCCTCCTGCCAAGTCTCCCCATGTGCCAAACAGGGATTGTGATGGGGCCCTTCATGGGTACCTGTGAGCTCTCTGAGGAGTCTGCGGGAAGCAGGTGCCCCTAGCACTGAGATGGCCAAAAGCACTAAGCCCCACACAGGCCTCCACCTTCCATCCACCCACCCGGGCTCGGTGGCCACCTGACTGGTGTATCGTCCCCACACAGACCCTCTACAACCAGACCTCAGAGGCGCTGGACCAGATGCTGCAGACCTTCATCACCCAGAACCCTACAGCGGCAGAGCTGCACTTCGTGCTGTCGGTGAGGTGGGGGTGGGCAGTACAGGGTGGGGGCACAGGCAGGGCTGGGCCAGAGGGTGAACCCAGGAGGGCGTCCCAGAGGAGACAAGGCCTAAAGGGGGGGGGGAGTGGCCCAGGAGGCGTGAGGGCTGCCCCTTTAGGAATCACAGTGATTCGAGACAACTAAGGGGGAGGAGGGGCACAGAGGCAGGAGCAGCCAGGTGGTGCCTGAGCCTTAAATGCCACACTAAAGGGAGCTGGTGAGGAAACGGCCATGGCCCTGCCCGGGATCTTCCCTCCCACACCCCAGAGAACACCCCCTGCAACTGAGTGCCCAGCTGTAAGGGAGTCTCATGAGCCCAGCCCCCCACTCTTTCACCTACTGTCTGGGCAGGAAGGAGACCAGTCAATAGGCAGTGACAGTATCCAGAGGCAGGGGAGGACCCAGGCAGGTCAAGGTCACTGGGACTTCACCCTAATGGGGGCTAAGGGACAGAAAGCGAGGGGAGGGGAGGAAAAGGGAAGGGGAAGGACCCTGTAGGCAGAGGGCACACAGGAGCAAAGTGAACAGCACGCATGAAGACAGTGGGCCCATGCAGCGGTTCTGCATGGCCAGGGCATGGCCTGGTGTTAAGGGTGAGGTCAGGTCAGCAGGAGCTCCCGACCTGGGGGCACAGATGGAAGCTGGAGTGTGTGAGCACGGCTAGGAGTAAATGCCATCTGCATTTTCACTCACCTCAAGATGTAGAGTGGCAGCCGGATGAGCTGTCTGCCACTGAGGAAGTCGCAGATGTCACAGGGCATCACCGGGGTACAGAATCCCCAAATACTGTTTACCCTCCTCCGATTTGAGAATCTACTCTGGTGATATATCGCCCTAACAAAAAGACTCAAATCTGGCATGAAACTGTCCACCATAGCTGTCTAATGGGCCTTGGTGCTCCTTTATAATTCTGTGCATTTTTGTGCACAGAAAAGCATTGCTCTGGAGAGGGGCGCATTGTGTGGGGCAGGCTAACAGCCAGGAGCCTCAGCGGGCTATGAGCTGCAGGGGTGCGCCAGCTACAGAAAGGGGAAAACTCTGGGCGCGGGCGGCAAGGGACCAGGAAGGCTGGCAGGCGGAGAGGTGGAGGGGAGGGAGCGGAGCCCGAGCCCGAGCCCAGGGCGGGCAGAGCGGAGCAGAGCCGGGCGCCAGGGACCGAGCGAGGGGCCGGGGCGGACT